GTCATGTAGTCTGAGCAGCCTTTTTCCTGGAGCCAACAATCATTAAGTTACAGCTTAAATAAAAAGAGAGACATATGCATAAAACAAAATCAAAGCCAAATAAAAAGACTCCTGGTATGCACCCTGTTACAAGTGTTACCAGCCAGCTAGACAAGTAGAAAAACAAGGCAATACACTGATACAAACTGCTGTCTCCCTCTCTCTTCTCTACTGACTCTATAATCAGGCTTAATGCACACAGCTTCTGCAAGCTATGGTTTTTAATGGACAGAGATTTAATAAATGGTGATTGAAGGTAAATCTACTTTAGAAGCAGCAGCCCAAAAGGTTTTTATTCATGCAAAGCACAGGGCAGTCAGATGGAAATTATTTTTGTATCAGTAGAAAGGCACATGAAAAGAGCAGATGGTCCTCAGCAGACTATGGACCAGAGGCCTGGTGGAATTCTACAAGGTGACTGTTGCTAGTGAGTGTGTCTACAGCAAGTCTCAGGATGCAAGAAACAAGGTTTTAAAAGCAAGCAACCCATCAGATCACAGGTTAGATTTTAATTAATTATGAAATATAGTTGTGGCAAATAATGCGTGGTGTATATTGTCTTCATGAATTCTTATTAATATCTCAATTCATCGATTGTGCTCTACTTTGCCTAAATATGCAGAGTGAAAAAACAAAAGGACGCAGGAGAGGATAAACCAGAAATGAAGAAGGGAGAAGGTGCTTTAAAAGAACAATGAAACTATTACTGACCAGGAAATACTGAGTTGGCTCTGGAAGACATCTTCTCAGTCATGAGCTAGGACTCTGGCTTTAGAAAAGAAGGTTTAGAAAAAGAAGACTTCTGTTTTAGAAAATAAGATGGATGAAAGCACAGAGAAACCAGAGCTATGTTTCAGAAATATCCACTGGGACTGTTGATTTGTGACTGTGAGGTACATCAGAAACACCACTCATTTCCAGGATTTAGTTATAGTCATACCTTTTATTAATTTGCCTTTTATTTAAGTTCCCCTTTTATTTCTTAGTACAAAAGGAGCAGGTGCCTGCTTGCAGCTGGCTACAGAAGGTGCAGAAAAATGTGCTGAAAATGTAAAACAAAACAAAAGGAAAGTGGAAGAGGCCGATTGCCAGAGATGCAGCAGTTCTATTGTTCTGGTCAGCACAGCCACAATCAAGAAAATTAAATTCCCCAGGCTGGCAAGGATAAATGGCTGACAACTTAATGATACACCTAAAGTTGCTGGGAAATGGGAGAGTACAAGTTCCATACTCTGCAGGAGTATCACTTCTATTATGTTACTGCAAAAATATGTGTAGGACCAGGTTAAGAGAATGCAGAGAGGAGGGCACAGACACTGAAGGGTCACAAAAGAGGACTTCCTCTCTAAACATTCATTACACCTAAACAAAACTAAAACAGGAAAAATTAGCATTTTTGACAAGATTTTTTACAGCAGCTGTTGTATGATGTTGATTTAAGACATGGTTTGGCTTATGTGAATAAGGCTGAGGGAGAAGCTAGCAAATTGAATATAAAATTCTGGCAAGGACAGTAAGCTGATAGAGCATGGACAGAGTAATCTTAAAGGGAGGTGTGATCAGACAAGCTACTGTACAAAGTGCCTCATAAATTCAATATAAACCTGCACTCCAAAAGGGTGTCTCCATTATAGCTGGTCAGTAAGCAGCAAAACATTGCAATTGCTGCATGGTATTCTGTACTGTATTACTGAATTTGAATCACAGAATCATAGAATGGTTAGGGTTGGAAAGGACCTTAAGATCATCTAGTTAGCAGCAGAAGATAAAATGTCTTGATAAAAAACTACCCTGTTGTGAGTTTAAACTGCTGTGATCTTTGAAACAAACCAAAATACTTCTGTTTATGCCAGAACTTCATTTGCCAAATCCTGAATTCTTCACCTATAAAAGTAATTGTTACATTCTGGGACATACTCTCAAATGGTGGCATCTATTACACTAGTCACCTCCATCAACACGGACAGATTTCATGAGCTAAAAGTATGTTCTCCTGATCCAGCACCTTATGATAATAATGGACAAAGATGAAAGACATACAGATAATAGCATATGCTAAACATTTTTGTTTTACATACTAAAAAAATCCAACATGAATGCGGTCAAGAAACAAAAAAATATTCAAGGCTTGTTTGTACAGTTCCTCTTCCTCAGATGCATCATGCGTCTGAATGCAGCGGATGAACAGAGGTCCATCCTGGTGACTTCTTGTGACATTATCTCACAAAGAGGCATAATGTTATGACAGTGCATTCCCTGAAGAGATGTTGGGCTGCACTACTCAGAAAGGATGCACTAAAGGTACTTTAGTAAAGGACAAAAATGGGGACATGCTTTTCAGGAAGCAGAAATTCAGAATATGGATCTGTTCTCCAACACACAATATAGAACATGAATAAGGAACTGATTCTCTCCTTTTGGATCTGTGATTCTAGGACTTCTGTCTGAGCTCCCTGTAAATGTTTTCTGGTATATTTTAAGGACCACAGTGATTTTCACAAGTCATCAGTGCCCAGGAGATGTCCACATTCAAGACCTGGGCGAGAGCCTTCTAGCAATCAATGCACCAGAAGCTGCTGAATATTAGCCCCAGTTTAAAAAACAGGCATACGTTCTGCTAATGTTCCTATTCCCACTGCGTTTGTGCAACGCTTCATGGGCTGTTTCCACTATCCCAGGGGAAAAGAAGCCTGCACCATGCTAGCACTTTGAATAGCTCTGAGATACAGAAGCACAAACTCATTGATTTTCCAAGAGAGCTTGTGGTTTTTACAAGTGCAGTCTCACATTAGGAAGCCTTTCAAACTGATGCTTTTAAATTGTTTCTGAAGCTTCCTGTCTGACTTTGGAGTTTTCTATTTCACCAGCTGAGCTTATTCAATGGTTTGTGTGGTCTACATCAGATCTGTGTAACCATTTGGTTTAAATCAGCACTGGGGGAAGAAAGGGTAGTAATGTCTTGCTACAGGATATGGTTGACAACAAATCAGTATCTGGCACAGTACATGAGTGAAAGACCCTTAAACTGGTTCTGAAGCAGAACGGTGGGTGACAGGAAAAGACAGATCTGTCCATCACCCTCTATTTTTTACAATAAAACCAAATTGGTCAGACTTGGATTACGAAAAAAACAAGAATATACATCTCCATTACAGAGCTAGTGGAGTGCAGGCACACTCCGTCTGCAAGATCACCTTCATGATCCTTGACAGCCCGCTCCCTAGAAGAGTAGGATGTACCCATTTCAAAGTACATGGAAGTAACATACTATGCAAGACATAAGTACCTGTATATCCTGTAAGTACCACATCACAGTGATGTAACTTCTGCAGTCATGGAAAGATCCATGGCTTAAAAGTCCTTTGACACAAAACACTTGTTTTTAAAACAAGTGAATAATTTGGTTAAAGACAGCTGTATTTGATTCAGCCTATGGGAAATCTAAAATTTCTAAAAAGCTCTTAAAATTAAAAATTCTTACTTAAGATTTCTAAAAAGCTCTCACTGTTTGTGGTCAGAGCTGTTCCACGACATCAAATCAGAGATGTCTACTGTCAGTTTAAAAACAAAGTGATAGATTTAAAGCTCTGATTCACAGCCCTCCATGTCAGCTCCAATGTGTCCACCCACTTCGGCAGTCAGAGTAAATATGGAAAGCAGCAGCGTGTAATCTGATGAACTGTGTTTACATGGACAGATGGGTAAGAGAGGCTTATACCTGTACACAGACATCGGTAGAAAAGGCATGCAGAATTACACCTTCTTTCACTTTGCATTTAATATTAAACTAAATGTTTCTTACACAGACAATGGATTATGAAACAAAAACTAAAAGCACTTTTTTTTTTAAATGGGATGTCTTAAAAGACTATTTTTTCTAAAAAAGTACATCTGTGTCCCTTCACATTCCTGATACAGTAATTAAATTTTGAACAGTCACGTTTAACTTAAAAAAACCCTACTTTGCATTAAGGGTATTCATTAATTAGGCTAAGAACAGGAGCTGCTGGTATTGTGCTTGGTGCTGCATAAATGCTTTTCCAAAAAGGCGTATTCCAATATTTGTAATATGTAAAAAACAAAACTAGGAAGGGGTAGAAGAAGGAAGGGAGAATCTAATCACAGCAAGTACAGCACTTAATAACATAAATGCAGAGAGGCAGTGGCAACGCTCAGTAGGGGGTACAGTAACTTAGTACCAAACTAGGGAGAAGATCAGGCAGACACTGGGGGTCAAAAAACTATACAAACATCAAACAACTGGTTTTATCACAAGCTCTACTACAACAAGTGCCAGTCAGCTTCCAAACCACTTTTCCTTCTTTGGGCAGTTGATGATATTTAGGTGCAGATTAAAAAGCTGGTTTTACACATTATATTCAGGACTACAATTTCTGGCCTTATTATTAATATGAATGAAGATAGGCAAGCTTATAGAGTTATCAGGGGGAACAGAAATCAAACAGTCAAACAAAAAATTCCAAAGCTCTATGTCCCTAAAGACAAGGGGAAAATAAAAAATATCAAAGTTTTCCATTTTTAAGTTCTGAAGAAGTTTAAACATTTCTGAAATCACAATGTTTTGTAGTATGATATTTTTTCAGGCAAAGTACATTTCTTAAGTGCAAAAAAACCATCAAAGCTCTTATGATTTTGCAATACAGAGCTTGACATCTTTCTTACATCTTAATAGCTGCAACTCAAATAATGAAGAGCATTGGGAGAATTTTACACCATTTTTACGGACCTTTCTTTAAAACTTGTGCACAACAGAACTGCTGGTGGGAGCACCATGTCTTCAGTTCCCTTTGACAGTTCACACCAGTTACACATTGCAGTACATTACTGTTTTATCTCAGCTATAGATCACAGCCATTATGTACTTCACCAGTTCTTGATAATTGAGTTTCTATCCCTGAAACAAAGTGCAGACAGAATATTGTTCAGTGCTGGTTACCTACCATGAGAATCAGCACTCTGTGGGTTACTGGGAACTGCTGGGTGAAGAAAGTTGGCCTCTTTTTCTGTAAACTACATATCCTCAAAGCAATGCTGTAGTAACCTAGGGAAAAGCACACTTGGATTAAAAATGTAACAGTTTACACAACAAAACTCAGACAGCATTTAACTGGCAGGTGACATTGATAGAAATGAAGTTCCATTTAGTCAATTCCACACTTAAAGGTCACTGTGTGGTACTTCAGCATTGTTTGTCTGTCCATTCCACAATCTTCGTCATTTAGCAACTGTCTGTCCCCTCTCTCCTCTTGCAAATAATAAAAAGCAGCTTTAAAGTGAAATTAAGTAGAAATGTCCTGTTTCCAGCTCCACTTTGTTGAGAACAGAAGTAAGATGTCTCCAGCTCTCTAATTATATAAGTAGGCCAATTTGCATGTGAAGTACATTACTATATGTGGGATGTGGCATAGAATATGCCATCGAGGCCTGAATTTTCAAAATGATCTATTAACCATGGTCTAGATCCTCATAAATGCCCCCTGAATAGATAGTCTTATACATTGGATACGAGCCTTTATCTGCTTCAGTTTTTGAAAAGTCATTTGAGGCAACAAGAATCTGAATTGAAGAAATGTGGCAGCTCCCATCCACTATTACAGGAGAGGTTGCTTGCTCAGCATTTTGTAGAATTAGGTCAGGAACTGTCTGAGCTTGAGCAATTAAATTTAGTGAGTTTCTTATCAATACTTGAACCTTTAACCAGTTATACTGTTTCTTATCTGTAAAATGATGAGTTGGATTTCTGTTATTAGTTAGCTGGGTAATATATATGAAAAAGCCCCACCAAAAAAACAAACCAAACAAAAAGAGAGCCCAAGAAGAAAATTATAGTGATGTATGAAGTATGATTCTATTATCCTTTTCATGGAAGACATTATCTAATTCTTCTTTGATATAGTGCTCATCCACTACTACCAGTATGTGGGCAGTTAATGGTTAAAGAAATGTGCAGACCAGCCAGGCTGAGAGCTGTGGCTGGTTTTCTCCTGGTAACCCACGCTGTTATCAGTGACACACAGAGGAAGGAAACAGAAAAACCCAACCACAAAAGAAGCTGATGTGTCACCCAGGATGTCTTTTCTATTTTTTACATAGCAGAGATATAAATAATTCATCTTTGCTGTACCTCAGCAGCTCCCTTATTTGTTGGAGATGAGAATGCTTCCTTGCTTTCCAAAGATATTGAAGTTTAGGTTCTTAATGGTCAAGTCACTTGACTCTTAAGATGGAAAGTAAGTTCTAGGCAATACAATCTAAGTATAATACACTATATGAAGCTAGCCCTGTTATTACAACACCAAACTGGAATGAGATGGGAGCACCAAGAGTCTGTTGTGCTGGGCAGACCAAAGAGATGCTGTGGAGGCTATGTGGGTGTGAGCAGGGTGACCATAGATCCTAAATTCAAAAAGACTGATTTCAGAAGTAAAAAAAAAAAAAAAAAACCACACTGCCAGTGGTAGTCCCCCCCCCGCCCCCCCCAGTGAAACTGAGATTCATGCCAGGTGACTTTAAGGTGTACTATATAAACATAGCAATCAGTTTCAGCCTCAGAGTCCTAAAAGAAAAGGGAGTTTTCACATAGATTTCAGTGAGGATAGGATCTCATGACAATAATTACTTCCCTTTTTATATTTTAGCTGAGCAAAAAAAACCATCATCATTTCAGTATTCAGTACACCACTTTTTTTTCTACACAATACTATGGTCTCAAACAAAGCTAGTTAAATACATTCCTGTATTTACCAGCAATGAAAAAAAGGCTGAAACAATGTCTCTTACCTAGCTAATAATGAAGGATATGAAAGGATAGTGAAGAAAAAGAGAGAGAAGAACTAGATTGCAAATAAAATGAGTAATTTAATGACAAGTAAGCACTGAAGTCTTGAACCTGCACCACTAGACAGCAGCCCAGAAAACTCCACTGACCTCAGAACTTAAAGAATGAACCTGTAACTCTGGAAGAAAGCAGCTTGTTTCTGCTTCCCACCACAAGACAACATCTACAGCTGGTGACAAAAGGCCGCTCCCTGCTTGGGAAAAAAGAGAAGGTATGAGCAGCAGTGCACTGGAACTCTGCTCATATTCAACATAGTGAGTGAGGGAACAAGGCTCCCTATTGTGCTCCATCATCCCTGAGACAGAGGAAGCACCTGCTTCTTGTTGGAAGATAACTGAATTACTGTCAGTTCTAAAAAGGGGAAAGGACATATGCCTTAGATGCTTTGTTAATGTCTCAGTTCTCTTATTCACAGCATTGAGTTCCATTGTGAAATTCCAAATACATAGTTACTAGTGCCATTTCCATTTGTAATCTTCAACAGTAAATAATTCTTACCTCCATCATTTGGCATTTGGGGCTCACTCACCAGTAACGCTTTCTTCGCTACCACCAGCTCCATCTGGTGGATATTCTGCACCGTTCTTGAAGTGAGAGAACAGAATTTTCTGATAGTTTTGCTGTCATTTCTTTAAAAATATAAGCATTAAAATGTGTAATATTAGACTCCTTTGATATTATATTAGCATGTGGGAACTGTCAAATATCTGAAATGTCCATCCTGATTTGCAATTAATTGTCCAGGAGAGGTTAAAAACCTCTCTTCAAGAAAAGCAATTTAATTTCCTAAACCATAACGTACTGGTACTGTACATAATCATGTTGCTCTGATTGTGAAAACTGCTTTTTTAAAGAGAAAAGCAAATAAAATACATGAATTTGGACTAGTTAGTAATAATGGTAACTGTAACCTACAGAAGACCTAGAAACGTGCACATATATTTTGATGCAAGAAGAACAAGACGATATGAAGTATGAGTTAGCTGCAAGATAAACATGAAGTGTAGAACAGGTTTAGAAGTAAAGAAAGGAACTGAGAATCAGACAGAATCTTCCTGACCCTGATTTCCTATGGGACTATGTGCAAGTCACCCCGTATCTTGAATACCTTGTTTTCTCTATTTGAAAAAAAGAAGCAATCATATAAACCTATGCAAAGACTCCTAATTCCCTGATCCCTGTAAAATCATTTGGAGTCCTTGGACAGATGCAAGCATGATTACTGTTTGCTAAGTGCTTGAGCAAACAGTCCCTGCATTTTTACATGAACATTCTCCACTGTACTGACAAGCTCAGAGTTCTTCACAGAAATGAGTTCAAAAGTTTTGCAAGATGTTCAAAAGTACTTCGGCAACACTAAAGAAACTTCCCAAAAGAGAAAGGGGAACCTCAGCTGAACTTCCAAGGGTGTTCATTCAAAAGGGTTGCCTATGCAAACCAAACATCTCATTTCAGAGTTGACACAGCACCAGAACTAAGAAAAAACAAAGGTGGAGAAACACAAATATAACAGCATTGATGCCCCTTCTCTGCATTATAACTCTAGCGCTTAAAATTCTCTGTGTTTAATTTATCTATCACTGCTGATGCAGTCAGGAAACACAGCTCTAATCTGGCATACAGCAGTGTGCAATGAATCAGCATCTCCTAGACCGTCTCATCTGGCAGAGTTTAGCACCTCTCAGTGTGTTGCTCATCCCTAGTTATCCTCAGAGAATTCCTACCTCTATCAGTTACAGGTTCTCCATTCCTGCTAGGAACATTTGTTATAGTAACACATTTCAGCTGACCAACTCATGTCACATCCATCTCCACAAATGTGACAGATGATGGTGGATTTTCTTTGCTACTTCCTAAATTTCATCAAGTGACATTGAAAAGGGGATACATAACAGGGCAAGGACTTACTTTTTGTCACTTTCACAGGCAATCTCCTAACATTTTTCAGTGGGGATCACATGAGTTAGATATCTCTCTCTGGACAATAAAGTCTCAGACACCAATAAAGACTGCTCCAAAACACACATGCAGGAGTCGAAAGAGCAAAGCAGGACTATCAAAAACTACAGTCCCGCCTGACCTTGCAGTAATAGGATCACATCTAGATTAGCCTATGCCATAGATTAAGCCTACAAAAGTAAATTAATCTTACTGCAGCTAAGCCTGTATGTTTACTTGCTAAGGCTGGGAAAAAGTCAGGAGTGTAAAATGCCTGTCTGCTGGAATAGATTATCTACACTACAGCTACATAAATGTTCAGCACACTTACCGCTGCACCACTGACCTTAAAGTGGCTTCAGAAAGAAAAAGCTCTGTGAATAGCCTTTTAAACTATATTGTGTGACTGATGAAAAAAAAAAGCATAGTCAAGTCAGCAGAGCATTGTACTAAAAGGCTCTTAGGGACTCTACCAATTCACATTTGAGCAGTCAACTTTTTGTGTGAGCAAAGTGGCGCAAGCAACTTCAGAAAAGGTAAGCTCTGCACCCCAGCACAAAGACGCCTTGCAGGCAGCAGGACAGCCTCCTCTGGCTGCCAGAGAAATATTCCATTCAGGATGCAAGCAACAGGAAGCTCTCAGAAGTAACAGAATAACCACTGTGCTTATCTGCCGGTGCATATAGCAGCTGCCTAACCGTAAACGTACTAGAGTCCACCACTGCCCTGCCACCAGTCCCTTTGCACAGCAGTCACCAGACTCATTGCAAACACAAAATGAGTGTTTGTTCCGTGTTAAGTACCATCAAACTACCACTTGCCCAGTCAGTAAGAGTGACAGCATTTGTCCATCTGCCATCTGGGGAATAAGGTGCATCTAGGGGCATTTTCTTTCTCATAGGAAGTCCCTCTCTGGTGCATACATCACACTTCTCTAGAAGATGTATTGACCAGTCTGCACATCTTTAGAAGCTGTCCATTCTACCATCTCAGTCCAAGCTGCTCACAATCCTTCTGTACACTTCCTTCTCTCCTTCACCTCTATTAGTTAAAATGTGTTCCAGATTCTTTAATTTTCATCACAATACCAACATCTGACTGAAAGAGAAGGATTGGAGGAATTAACACATAAATAAAACATTTTTTGGCTGTTTTCTGAGATGCTTTGGTTTTCTATCCATGGAAACAATCACAGCCCAAAGTCTCTAGTTAACACAGCTAACAGTTGTACCTGTCAAAACACAATAACCAAGATGCTGAGCTGA